CATTTTTTACCGCTTTTCTTTCTTGCATTTAATTTTGGAAAAGTACTCTGTCCTGCTTTTGGCTGCCTTTCTACTTCATTATTTGATCCCGATTTGTTCTCAAAACTCGTTCTAGGTCTACCACATATTCTGTAGTACGTGACTTTTACAAGCATTGACCCATTGCACATTCAGTGTTTCCTTTAACATGCTGCTCAACCCTAAACCATTGGTGGAAATGTCACATTTACCCTCGTGCAGGCCAAGAGTGGTGCTCGCTTAAGGTACCCAGAGGTACAAGGTACAATGATTCAATCCGAGACCAGTGTTTAAACTTACAACCTTCCAAATGTCAAGTGCAGCAACCACGCACGTCACAACAGCAGCCTTTTGTCAAGCCATTGCTGAATGAGGGCATTCCCATATTGTGTGAGTTTTGCGGTGTCTAAAACCACATTTCACCACGCTACCCAGTGTGGATTGGTGAGGTGGGGGGTCAGAACTGGTTCAGATATCACTCGCCACTGATGTTATCTTCGATCGGAGATCGAACTCAGGTAACTGGGTTGATAGTGATGTGTGTTAACCGCTGTGTCACCACTCAGCCTCCACCCACCACTACCCCATCCCTCTTTACGACACCTTACCTGAACGTTTATGATCATGTAAACAATGTTCATGCAGCGCAACGTGTAATGAAAGACATTACAATGTAAACATTTTCAAACCAAGCAACTAATTGTATGCTTCGATTTTAAAGCTTTCGTGACTGCAGGGATTCATCTTCTTGGTTCTTTCGGTAAAGTCGCCACGTAGAAGGGAAATAAAATAATAAAAATAAAACATAATAAAATAAAATTCTCACGACGTTTCGGCCACAACACAAGTAGCCTTCTTCAGGTGAAGGAACAGAACTGTCGGGACGACAGCGCTTCAATGAACACTGCCAAGCTTGGCAGCGTCTTTTAAGCTAGGTGGGAGGAGCAGAGCGCCTTGACAAAGGAGTTTACAAATCAAACAGGAGTATTTAGCATTGAAATAGCTGTGTTAAAGTGTTGGATTAGCAGGGTGTTAAAGTCAGAAATTAGCATGTAACTGGGAGATTAGCATGATGTTAATGTGAGAGATTAGCATGTATATGGTATTCATTATATAGTGTACTGTATACCCAGTTACTTTATGTAAATAGCTCAACTTATTGAATAATATATTGAGTACATTTATTATATTGATGTAGTTTATACTTAGTTTTTTCACATCGGTTTATTGTATGATAATTGGGTAGTTGCAGTCCTTTAGCGTCAATATACTAAATGCCTCTGTTGATATGTAAACTCTGACTTTAACATAGCCACTTCCGTGACCAGTTACATGCTAATCCTTCACATTAACATCATGCTAATCTCCCAGTTACATGCTAATTTCTGACTTTAACACCCTGCTAATCCAACACTTTAACACAGCTATTTCAATGCTAAATTCTCCTGTTGATATGTGAACTCCTTTGTCAAGGCGCTTTGCTCCTCCCACCCAGGTTAAAAGACGCTGCGAAGCTTAGCAGTGTTCATTGAAACGCTGTCGTCCCGACAGTTCTGTTTCTTCACGAAACTACGTGAGAATTTTATGTTATTATGTTTTATTATTATTTTATTTCCATTATACGTGACTTTACCGAAAGAACCAAGAAGATGATTGTATGCTATCTAAATTAACAAGGAATGTAGGAAGCGCAGCCCTACTACTATAAGAGAATTGGAACCTGTGAATAGCAAACTGTTAGCATCTAAAAAAACGACGTTAAGGCAGATGTGTACAAGAAACGTATAACAACATCTCCTCGCGTCTCCTGGGTGTCTGTAGTTCCCTCAGCCTCGTTTTCCAAGACGGTGTATGCCATGGTATGTCAGTCTCAAGTGCCATGTTGCATGCAACACACATATACAGTGAGGGAAAAAAAAATATTTGATCCCCTGCTGATTTTGTACGTTTGCCCACTGACAAAGAAGTGATCAGTCTATAATTTTAATGGTAGGTTTATTTGAACAGTGAGAGACAGAATAACAACAAAAAATCCAGATAAGCGCGTGTCAAAAATTTTATGATTTAATTTGCATTTTAATGAGGGAAATAAGTATTTGACCCCTCTGACAAACATGACTGAGTACTTGGTGGCAAAACCCTTGTTGGCAATCACAGAGGTCAGACGTTTCTTGTAGTTGGCCACCAGGTTTGCACACATCTCAGGAGGGATTTTGTCCCACTCCTCTTTGCAGATCTTCTCCAAGTCATTAAGGTTTCGAGGCTGACGTTTGGCAACTCGAACCTTCAGCTCCCTCCACAGATTTTCTATGGGATTAAGGTCTGGAGACTGGCTAGGCCACTCCAGGACCTTAATGTGCTTCTTCTTGAGCCACTCCTTTGTTGCCTTGGCCGTGTGTTTTGGGTCATTGTCATGCTGGAATACCCATCCACGACCCATTTTCAATGCCCTGGCTGAGGGAAGGAGGTTCTCACCCAAGATTTGACGGTACATGGCCCCTTCCATCGTCCTTTTGATGCGGTGAAGTTGTCTTGTCCCCTTAGCAGAAAAACACCCCCAAAGCATAATGTTTCCACCTCCATGTTTGGCGGTGGGGATGGTGTTCTTGGGGTCATAGGCAGCATTCCTCCTCCTCCAAAGACGGCGAGTTGAGTTGATGCAAAAGAGCTCCATTTTGGTCTCATCTGACCACAACACTTTCACCTAGTTGTCCTCTGAATCATTCAGATGTTCATTGGCAAACTTCAGACGGGCATGTATATGTGCTTTCTTGAGCAGGGGGACCTTGTGGGCGCTGCAGGATTTCAGTAATTCACGGCGTAGTGTGTTACCAATTGTTTGCTTGGTGACTATGGTCCCAGCTGCCTTGAGATCATTGACAAGATCCTCCCGTGTAGTTCTGGGCTGATTCCTTACCGTTCTCATGATCATTGCAACTCCACGAGGCGAGATCTTGCATGGAGCCCCAGACCGAGAGAGATTGACAGTTATTTTGTGTTTCTTCCATTTGCGAATAATCGCACCAACTGTTGTCACCTTCTCACCAAGCTGCTTGGCAATGGTCTTGTAGCCCATTCCAGCCTTGTGTAGGTCTACAATCTTGTCCCTGACATCCTTTGAGAGCTCTTTGGTCTTGGCCATGGTGGAGAGTTTGGAATCTGATTGATTGATTGCTTCTGTGGACAGGTGCCTTTTATACACGTTTACAAGTTGAGATTAGGAGCACTCCCTTTAAGAGTGTGCTCCTAATCTCAGCTCATTACCTGTATAAAAGACATCTGGGAACCAGTAATCTTTATGATTGAGAGGGGGTAAAATACTTATTTCCCGCATTAAAATGCAAATCAATTAATAACATTTTTGACACGCGTTTATCTGGATGTTGTTGTTTTTCTGCCTCTCACTGTTCAAATAAACCTACCATTAAAATTGTAGAATGATCATTTCTTTCTCAGTGGGCAAACATACAACATCAGCAGGGGATCAAATACTTTTTTTCCCTCACTGCAACTTAAATGCAACAAAGTATGTTGTACGCAACAAAGAAAACAATTATTTGTGGATACATTGTCACATTGCTGATATTATAACATTGCGAAAATGCTTTCTTTTGCCAAGAAACCGAACCATTTCCACGGTAAAATACATTGACATTATAAGAAACAGGCTGCAAAGTAGGGATGCATGCTGATATACGATTTTGGAAAGGTTAAATATCCACGATAGAGGGAACGTTATAATGCTAGTTATCAATGTAACTAATGTAACTAATGCTAGTTATCAATGTATTTGTGCAACTGCCATGCACGAATGTGCACTGCCCTCTGCCCATATTCTCGATTTTCCTACAGCCGCTGGTGCAGATAAGATGTCGAGGGGCTTCACTTATTATCCACACAAAGTAAAGCCAACAATTAATTTTAACCAGTACTGTGTCGTGTGTGAGAGCAGTATCCATCTTTTACTTGTGCATGTGCTCTGGATATGGGAAACCACAGAAAACCCAGCAATGAATTGCAAAGCAATTTTCAAGCAATCAGCCTGAGTTAGTTGTGGAACTCAAGTGTTTTTGTCATATTACCCATATTAACCATACCCAGGAAGGCGATCCATACCCAGCAGGCCAATCCATACCCAGCAGGCCGATCCATACCTAGAAGGCCAATCTATAGTCAGCAGGCCGATCCATACCTAGAAGGCCAATCTATAGTCAGCAGGCCAATCCATACCCAGCTGGCCAATCAATCATGTTCGAGTGTATCACTCCAACAGTTATGTTATTTTGTCCAGCGAATGTGTGCACTATTTGTTTTGCTCACATTTATTTACCGCTAGTTCTCATAGGGACTACTAGCAAATTTGAGATGGGCAACGCCCTGACCATTTCTTTTATGTCTTAATTTCTCAATCCAACGTTCGGTACATATTTCCCAGTGTCCCCCGAGAAATGCCTCGGTGATGCGTATATTAATGGCATTAGCCATGATGACCCCTTGACCTTGATGGCACTGTGGCAGAGTGGCCGACTCGCTGGCAGCAAGGTTGTTAATACAAATCCCAGGTGACCAGTGAGTGGTTCTAAAATAGATAGGCCCAGTCCTCGAACTGATTTATTACCAGAGCTGCCGAGGGGAGGGGGAGAAGGTGCGGACCTGTGGGGTGGGCGGTGGTATTTTGCCGTGGGCCTCACACAAAAGAGGGCCTCAATAACAACCCTGTGGCTGGTGGAATAAGGGGGCCCCACGTGGCATCCTGCCCCAGCCCTCCAGGGACCTCTGCGCATCCCTGATGACTGCTAATGACACGAAGCCAATTGTTGTTTCCACCCAGCTTTGTTCATTTCAACGTCCCAATGCTCCTTTTGCACTCCACTGATGTCACCGCGTAGCCCCTTGGGTCACGGTTAGCTCAAATGAGGTTAAATGCCACGCGTTTCTCTAACCCTGTGGCTTCAACCAAAGCTATTAGACGTGTGACTTACAGTTCTTGCAGTAGCGGCAGGTGGCTGAATGCAAACGGCTTCAGTGACGTCAGGTTGTTCATGCTCAGGTCTCTGCAAAGGGACAAGAAGCACAGCAGATTTAGTTCTCATGATTGTAATCGATTAGTAATGCGCGTCCATGTTTACAATCACCATTGGAAAGGCAATGGTATAATACCAAATGAATGTACGATGTGTCGTGAAACTACCCACAAACCTCAATAACACATTGCTTAACAAATCCTAAATGGGAATTATTGCATAGCAAATGTGACATTCTACTACGAGTATATTTATGCAACTTTACATCGTACAGGAAAAGAGCGTGGCAGCAAAGGCAGATTGCACACCACTCTGTTCAACATTCTCCACTTTTAAGCGACATGCACGGTAGGTGCCACGCTTACTGACGCAATGCAATTAAGCGGGTTGTCTGACAGGAGATGCTAAGCCTGCCTGCCGTCTTATCCAATTATGAGCAATGAGCTCCTGTAATGTACGTGCCATCCTCTCTACGTTTTCAAGTCCAGAGCTCTATTTAATTATGTTATAATTGTCACAATCAACATTGTTCTTTGTGTCATTATATAGCGTAATAGTTTAGCAAAAAAATGAACCATTTGCTTTCATGGTATATTCTCAAATTAAAATCTCGTGCTATCACCTCACGTGAGCAGGATTGCTCGACGTGTTGTTCTGATTGGTGTAGAAATCTCAATATTGTTTGTTGGCGGGGTGGGTAAAACTTGACAGATTTATGAGCACATTGCATCGTAATCCCATCGATCAAAACGTAGCCCCTGGAAATGCATGTCAGTGGCTTGAGTCTAGAAACCTGTAATACTCTGCAACGCAGCCTAAAATTCAGTACCTGGCAATATTCGCTTGCCAACATCAGCCGTCAAAACACAAAGGTGGATTGTTTTCTGATCTACTACCCACTCATGTTGTGTGAGCAGGTAGCCAGTTTCGCCGACCAAAAAAAAAGTAATTATTAAAAAGGCCATTAACAAAGGATATGCACTATTCGAGCGTTCCATCATGAGCTCTAATCTCGATTGACGGAGAGTTATCTGTCACAATCTACCCTGGGTCAGACTAATGTGGCACAGGCAGTGCGGTATTTATGACACAGTTTGACTGAATTGCTGTGTGTTGAACTGCATTCGCACCATACCGATGCCGACTGGGCTAACCGAGAACCAAGGCAGAAAATTTGAGTACATTTTCAGAGCTGGGCCTTTTTTTTCACATTCATTCAGTTCACGCAAGCTTCAAAATTAAATAGTAATGTTTTGTTTTTTATACATATAATGGAAAATTTTCACCTGCCGGGGATTACACTGCGGGTATCTTAGCGTCTTCCTTCTACCTCTTTCAAGGTAACATTGTTTGCTCAGCAAACTTGAGCTATGGTCAGTACAAGCAACCCCAGCTCCTGAGCAATAAATCACACCGTTTAGGAAGCTGGTAAAACCCTTTCACACACCTTTTGGTTACTAGAGGGTGTTTGTTTAACCCCATTATGTTGATTGATTTACGACTGGCAGTTTTCATTATCTTAAAAAAAAGTAGAATTTTCACAGTTTATTAACGTAGCAGCTGTTTTACTGGACAATGTTGGGATTTACTACGTCAAATCGTCGAATGATCTTTACATTAACGTCATTAAATGTACACGAAGAAATGTGGCAACATAACAAAAAAAAGCCATTCAAGTTATGTTCATTCTCACACATGTAGCAATCTCCACAATTACACAGTTGCGTTTACAGAAGGCGATAAGACTCATGGCACTGTCGTGTCAACGAACACTTGTGAAAGCTATACGGCCTTCCTTAACGAAAGTTAAGATAATTTAGGTGGTTTGTTGTTTCTATAAATTACGACGCTATAACTCAAGATGTCACCGAGGTGACAGCAGTTGGCCGAGCTTGTTTTTAAGTGTTTGAATGCCGTAACTTTGAAAGACACGCATGTTACCCGTTTCTTTGAAAGATACTGTACTGTGGTTGAGTGAATGACTTGCACCTCGGGTTTAAAACATTGCAAGCAGAGCATATCCCTTCAATGGGGGACCCTGCTTGTATCGTAATCTAGACTGGCCAAATATGTCTTAAATGTACCACCATTACAAGAGATCAATCAATTGCAGTAGCAGTATGGAGCGTACGTTCTTCGACTCCTGGGTGGGGGCAGCTGAAAGAGTGAATGGAGCAAGTTGCCTATGAATTCTGGTTTCTCTGGATTGAGAGTGCAGTGCCCATACTGATACACACTGTAAAGTGTATATACACCTCTGAAGAAGCATTACATATCCGTACTTTCCTCGGAACTTTACACTTGTTGTCCTGTGGACAGACTGTCCCCTGTCATATGAATGTGGAATGTGTACCCACTGGCTCTGTGCCGTCAACAGCGGTGAGCACCATCCCTCCCTATTCCTCCCGCGAAAGACGAATTTAGCATGCCCATAGGTTAATATGAAAACAGTCGTAACAGTCTGACACCAAAACCAACGTCTGTTTACACACGTTACGTGTAGGTGACTGCAAGATCGGCTTTAAAAAGTGACAAGTCAAAACTTGAAATGTTGCATTTTGAATGTTATGAGGCAACGCTCGGAACACGTTGCTCCCTCGTTCAATGCCGAGCATCTCTTTGAATTTGATGGCAATGAGGCTTTATAAATAGTGTGTCCGGATGGTAGGATTCCAGCCTATCCGGTTTGAACGTTGCCTGAAGGGGGAGAGACAGCCACCTCAAAGGCGCCGCCGTCGCCGCCGCCGCCAAAAGCAAAAAGGGGGCATGCGAGTTCTCACTTTTGTTTGCCACCGTGCGAGGCTCGGCGCAGTGTATCCACTTTGCTTCACTCGCGCATAAAACGAAGCACATTACCGACTTAACAAGTGCTCGTGACGGTTAGGAAGCAATCACGGCTCACAGTGAAGGGATCGCACGCGAACCGGCTTCGTTAGGGAAGGGAGGTTCTGTGCATCGGACGGAGGGCAGAATTTTTGTTGAGGTTGTGCTGGTGGGACCCCGGACGTGCAAGTTGGAGTTTTTTGCTCTTTAAATTCTCGCACGGTGTCATGCACGAGTCTTTTGGGTCATTTTATTGCAGAGCGCACGTGTCTTCTTGGAAATGCAACGCCGATACGTTACGATCGGCGAAGTAATTTGCCAAATTACAAACGGATTTACATTTTATAGCAAAACTTAATGGTGAAATATCGTTCGTAAAAGAATCATGTTATACGACAGCCAAAGCCATTCTCTGGGTCTTTTGGTAAAGTCACGCAGATTGGTTCAAAGTAAAATAACAAAAAAATTACGAAAAAACGACGACGTTTCGATCTCAACACAAGCGATCGTCATCAGGAGGAAAAAAAAAGACGATCGCTTGTGTTGTGATCGAAACGTCGTAGTTTTTTGTTATTTTCTTTGAACCTATCTACGTGACTTTACCGAAAGACCCACATAATATGAATTCCTGCAGTCACGAAAGCTTTAAATCAACATTTCAAGCCATTCTCGTTCAAGGTATTTTTGAAGGTTTATATAATAACACGTGTTAATATGGTGTTTTACCGTGTGAATATGGAAATGACAAACATTTTCTGGAGCAAAGTTCACGTGGTAAATCATTTTATAAAATTACAAATGCAATGGCAATCACGCTCACCACGTTACCTATTGCTGTATTGGACATTCAAATTACTCAAACACCACTCAATTCCATTACAAGCCATGAGACGTTAGTGGTGGAAATTCCACATTCCTGTGGCATGGGCATTTCTATCGAACAATCTATGTTGGGTTGCCATAATGCATTTTTTTAATCAAGCAAGCAAGGTGTGATTGACTGGGTTGGAAACAAGTGATCATTCTGTGTTTTCGGTTTGGATATGGGTATGACAAACATTTCCTGGAGCAAAATCCACGTGGGTTACTTTTTTCTGGCGACATATAGCCAATCGGCTTAGGATGCCTTGAGAAATGTTGCATTCCCTTTACTATTTTACCCTCACAGTACATTAATTACCTTTTATAATCACTTTGAAATGCGTTGCACATGGCCGTATGCCATGTAAATGTGCAAAAGGTTCGTGATTTATTTTACAAATTACAAACCTAAGACTTAAGCTAATTTGAAACCCCATATGTACGTTCGGATGTATCTACTTTCACAGGATGTGTGCTGAAGTAAGGCATTACTCTGAAATCTTGGAAACTATGGATGTTGTCGTGTTATGCTAAAAAAAACCCTGCACTTGCAATCCAGAGATTACTGGTTCAATCTCCCGGCGTTAGAGTTGAAACAATGGGGCAAGTTTCTTAAATGGGTTCACCAAAGTCAGTCAATCGGCAGGCCGGGTATCGTGGGGCAAAGTGTGTGTACTCCCACCTCATTCAAGACGTGCGGTCAATGTGGAAGGGGAGGAAAACTGAAAGTATAGAGAGGCTCTCTCATTGGTATCCTTAAGTCGAGGTGCTTCTGTCAGCAAGCAATGTCAGGGCTGTACCTCATCCTTGGAACCTAAACTAGTAGCAGCGTGCGTTGGGCTGTGAGTCATTTAATATTCTGTTTCGTATTGACAAACTTTCCTTTCGTCTGTTAAATTTGTACTGTATTCTCATAGCAGATAAACAGGAAAAACTTGAGTCTTCTCAACAAGAGCAGAAACTATTCCCGTTTTTTTTTAAATCAATAAACATACGTGTGCCCACTGGCAAAGGAATTGCATTTTATGTACGCACATTCTGTTCATAGTAAAATGCAGTAACTATACTGTGCACATTATATACGGAATATGGACACGCTGTGCAGAGAATACACAGTGCATGATACAGACTATACATATGTCCCAGCTTGGCAGATAAACCATTGGGCAAATTTCTGAAGTCCCCCTCCGCTACCCACGGCTGACCACCCAGCTGTATAAATGGGTTCACCACAGTGAGTCAATAGGCAGTTCTCGTGTGCGGACTCCCACATCTTCCAAAATGTCTGGCTATTATGGAAGAGGAGGCCAAATTTCCTCTCGGGGTGGGGGGGGTGTCATTATGCC